GGTACTCCCTACAACAGATTAATGCCAGTAGAAGCTGATTATATCTAAAATCAGGTAGTTAAAACTAGCACATATTCTCAGGGCTTATGCAGTTGGGGATCAAGCTAATGCAGATTTGTGGAAAGAGTGATCAACAACAGAAGTGGCAGTACTCATTCAAGCACCCCATAATTTATCATTTAATGCTGCCATCTGAAATGAAATATGTTAACAAGCAGTCCAACACTTCCAAATGAAAGTGCACTGCACACGTGAAACACCAGGTAGATGTTTTAGAGTCATTGCCAGGTGTCACCTAGCAATCTGAGCACTACGTAGGCTAGCTGCCAAGGTAAGCACAACACTGAGGTTTGAATCTCAAGTATCAACAAAAATGATGAATCAACAGATAAAAGGAAATTAAGGTAGGTTTTTTTTTTTTTTTTTTTTGGTAGCATGAAACAACAATTTTAAAGATTTCTCTAAAAGCAGGCTCAAGTCCCAATTGCTCAAGCTCTCCCGTCTACCGCAGTTGATGCCAAAGTCCATCACACCAAAGAGGCACATGAGGGAAAGCAGAGGAGACGCCTCCAGTTTTGGGCGCTAAGGGGAGTTCTGTGGCTTTCCCTTTGAGACAGCAAGAAAAATGTTAGAACCAGAAACATGTCTTCAGTGACTGTAGATCAAATTTCCTTTCTATTGCATCTTTTGCTTCCTGGAATAAACCAAAGGAAGAACAGACGGCAATGCATCAAGCCAGTATCTTTCACCTCTCTAGCTCTTTTCTGCACATTTCAGAGCCTCTCCAAAAAAAAAAAAAAAAAAAAAAAAAAAAAAAAGAATGATTTTAGAGCACTTTAAATGATTGTCTTTTAAGCAAAAGCAATGTTCAATTACCATAGTAACACAGCTGCTAATCCCCTTTAAGATATGGATGGACGAGAGTCTTTCTAAAGTATCAGCGACAATGGGCAGGAAAGCACATTGTGTCTTTTAAAATATGCCTTTTATAGTCTTGTGTTACAGAGTTCACATCATAAAGCTTTCCTGAATCTATTGTCTTACTGGCACAGCTACCTCTCCTGAAAGTGCTACAGAAAAAGCAAATTACTCAATGACTGCATTTCTTTTGAAAGGCAAGATTTGGTTTCAGGATGAACATGAGTTATACAGTAAATTTACATGAGCAACAAACAAGATTCTTCAGTATTTTTGCCATTTTTGTGGATATCTTTGTGTTCATATTACAAAGCAATATAATAAGCAGAAATGTATGAAGGTCATCTCAGACTCATTTGCTTGAAGACAGATGAAGGAAATTGAAAATAGTAGACACAGGCTTTTACATAGGCTTAAAAGGAGTACAGACAGGTTTAATACCTGTTCAAGCTATTCTTATTGACTCTTACAATCATGGGACTGTAGGGACCCTCAGCAAATTTTTAGACAACACAAAGCTGGGAGAGGTGGCTGATACCCCAGAGGGCTGTGCTGCCAATCAGAGGGACCTGGATAGGCAGGAGACACAGGCAGAGAGGAACCTCACGAAGTTCAGCAAAGGCAAGTGCAGCATCCTGCATCTAGGAGGGAATAACCCCATGCACCAGGACAGGCTGAGGGATGACCTGCTGGAAAGCAGCTCTGTAGAGGAGGACATGGATGTCCTGGTGCACAAGTTGAACAAGGGCCAGCAATGTGCCCTTGTGCCACTAAAACTTAAGACCCAGTGCTCTTCTCAGCTCTCCTGGTCCTGTTCTTGGTCCCTAAAGTCTTCATCATGAATCAAGTTTTCATCACAAATAGAGCTGGCTCAGGGAAGAGCATCTTAGAAGGTGGTTCAGCCCTGTGAAATCAACTTCCTGTCAACACTTAAATCCACTACAAATTCCACTACTTACCACTTCAGGGGCTACATATGCTTACATGACAGCTTGTGCAGGGAACAACGCCTGTTTCTTCAAACAAAAATACAAAAACAGCAGCTTCACTTTGGTATAGATAAGAAAAAATGTAATAACAAAAGAGCCTATGTGAGATAAGATAGCAATTTTGAAGAATAAAGACACTCAGTTACTTAGATAATAAGACTATATATAAAATATAGAACAGAATATTCTTAAAATACAATGGCACAATATGCATTATGGGGTCAAAAATTATAATATACATTAAAGGATTAATTTTAAGGAAAAAAACAAGTTTTAGGTTGAGACTTCAAAAACAAAACAAAAAATTATCAGTGACTGGACTAGAACTGAGAAAGAGCCAAGTGAAAAGAAAAAATGAAAACTATGAAAACTGAAAGAATGTGCTCATACAAAAATTAGAAAAGAAATAGATTGACAGAAAGTTTGAAAGGATGATGGAGAAAGAAAATCCTGAAATCTAGAATGTTAATTTTAATCTCCCAAAATTCTCAATTGGGGACTTTCATATGAACAGAAATGAGATAATACTAAAAAGATATAATTTTGGAGACGCTGATCTTTAAAGTAAATGTTAGGGTTTTTTTTGTTTGTTTTGTTTGTTTTTTGTTTGTTTTTTGTTAATCTCTCCTTTACAAGGCAGAATATAGGGCTGACACTCTTCTAAGGATTTTGACAGAGAACTGCCATATTTAAATTAACCAGTGTAATGTCTAGCATCCTTACTTTTTCAAGTTAAATGTTGGTAACATACTTCTTAATTTTGCAGCATCTTTATTGTGCACAGATGGCTTTCCTTCAACAATTTATTCATTTACTCCTGCTGTGCTGCACCATGCATTTATATTTCATGCTGGTACCTCTTTTATTATTCTCTATGTTTTTCCTGTGGTTAAGTTTAATGAATAATTTGTTTAGGATGGTTAAGCTTTTATTCTTCAATATCTAAGATGAGGACTCTTGTAATTAATAATTTTTAAGTTATCTGCTTTAAAGTTCTTTTTTCTGTATCTATTTTTGAAAAGCTATTGGCATGCTGTGCATAACTGCTGTTAGTAAATTTAATTTAACTTGATATTCTTATTCTTAGTCATTAGTATGGATAATTTTTACCACTGAAGTTTACTACTTTTTCTCCTCCACTAGTCAAAAACAGTTCTAAATCCTACCAATTGCTGAGAGATTTTTAGGAGACAAATCATGTTTCACTTCTCTCTTATTTATGGAGTATGTGATACCCATTAGATCATTAAACTTTTCATTCAAATTAATTTAATGTAAATAGAGATCAAGTTTTTAAAGCAATGTCCAAGCTTCTGACTTCCATTACAGTTATTACTTTGGCAAATCAATTCAAGGCTGTGTTCAGAAAATGTGCACTCTGGCTTGCAATTAATTAATAGTGCGCCCAGTCTATCTATTGGTATCCTGTGGACAGCTCTCCTAAGGTGTGATTAAGATGTATGATAGATAGTTTTAATGCATTTTGGCTTTAATACTTGGTTTTAAGTAGCTTCAAAGGCACTAGAGTGATTAGCAGCTGTGGCAGCTTCTAGCAGATACTCTCGGCATTGCGGATGCTCTGCGTTTCCCAGCTAATTCGGGATGCCTATGGGGGACAAGATGTTGAAGCAGCAACACAGGGGGTTTTAGGAAGAATTACTTCCCATTACCTTTGCACAGGTTAGCAGATTTTTCCTTAAAGTACTGTCTTCTGCTTAGCTGAGAACCACAGCGTCAGTGAGCTCAGTGACTGGAGGCAGGGTCTGCTGCTGACATTTCATTTTCAGTGGGAATATCATAGCATTCCCAAGCGAACCCTCTGCAGTTGGCCGCAAAGCCTAGTTCTTGCTCACCCTGCACCAAGTGAACAAAACTGTTCAAAAACACAGAAAAATTCTTCAATGCTTTCCTGTACTTCTCTGAAAAATCCCAAACATGGTCTTCCCAATGGACTACGAAATCCTGGAGGCAAAGGCCCTGTTTTACCCACTGTGAGGCACCTACCATATTTTTAATACTATATTAACAACATCTGTGATCGGACTCATGAGAATAGTTACTCTAAGCTGAGCAGTACACTAGGAACAGGTTGAGGGGAGCTAGGAAACACTTGAGTCTCAAATAAACTGCATGGTCAGAACAGATGTACAAGAAATCCATCATCCTTCTGATGAGAAATGCTTCAGTCATCTCACTCAGCACTGCCTGAACTTCATCTGTTGCTGCACACTAGGTGTATTAAGCAAGCCTTAGCCAAAAACACCTGTTTGATACTAGATCTTAATGCAATGCAATGGATATAACATTAAAAGAGATTGAGACAAACTTGGAGCTGGAAAAGTTGATGCAAGCTGCAGTATTAGAATGATACTGAAAACAGTCAGTGAATAATCTAAAACTGTACAGTGTGAATCTAGATTAAGTTTGATTTTCCAAAAACCCTACTCATATCTGACTTCAATCTATTTGCCTCAAATTAAATTTTAAAAAACCTCTTATTAGTCACACAAGAAGCAGCAGCCCTATGACTAAGATAGAAAAGGATCTTAATTGTGTCAAAATGCCTGGTAGTAGCTTCAGAGAGTGCAACTATTACACTGAAAGCAATTCAAAATATTTGTACATTATTTGATATTAAAATAATTGCCCAAGTTTCCTTGCCAAAATTTCCTTGCTCAAAACAAACAGAAGCATTTTAATACTAGGCCAGGACAACAGCCCTAAAAATTCTAAGTTAAGGTGATTGTGGGCATCTACGAATGCAGTAACTTAGATGTGCTTAACAACGTGATACAGAGAAGCATAGGATCCCATATATGTTGGGTGTAATGATAGAACTTAAATAAGCAATAGAGAAGCTCAGCAAGTGGGAAGAATTTGGCAAGGCACCAAAGACCAAACAAGGAACTGCTCTAACAAAGGTATAGCAAATGCTATGAGAGTACAAGCAGGTGAAAAACCAGTTTAATAGAGAAAAGTTATGAACATTCTTTCATTATTTGATTAGTTCAGCTGCCTCTGCCCATATCTGCTCATATTCTGGTGTATTTTTCTAAAAATGTATTTAATAAAGGTCTTAAGATTTTAACTCACAATTCTTCTGTAATCAGGTGTCTTCGCATTTTGATTTTTAGGAGTGATCTTTCAAATTCCAGCTTTTCTACATACAGACTTGGACTACTTTTTACTTATGACACTTGTTCTTTTCAGTCCTCAAGTTCAGCATGACATCTTTGGACTTCAGTGAAGAGTATTTCATTAATTTCAGTAAGGCACTAGGGCATAGAAAAAATCATAAAGGGTTGCAAGTGACTTGCTTTCTTCCTGCCTCTTCAACGCTCTTGATGAAGAGCGCCATACTATAAAAATAAATGAGAAAAGAGCACTCAACATTGCCCATCTTCAACACTTGATACTAAAGGATAAAATTGTCCACAGGGAATTTCATAAAAAATGTGACACTCTAGACTTTTAAACATATTTATCTGATGAGTCCCTGCCTGCTATTTTATTACTGCGAGTAGGAAGCGTTCTTATTTTATAGCTCTATTGAAGGTTCAGATATTTAAACAAATCGTATTTTTTTCCCTGCTACGGCTATATAATTTATCAAGCTGGGGCCTTGCTTCATTTATTACATTATTTTTTCATGCATGAAAATCCATTTGCTGCTCTGCTTCTTATTGAAAATGGTAATTTCCTGGGTGGATGCACATCTGTTATCAAATTGGAGCCCAGTATGATGAGCCTGAGTGCAAAACAGGGCACACCCACCTATTTCCAATGACACGAGAGCAACGACAACATCCTCTTTGTCTGTTTTGAGCTAAACGAAACAAAACCAAGTAAACATAAAAAAACCCTCTCAGTACCACACACCACTAGGAACCTCATTCACTCTTTCCATCCACTTAAGCCCTGTAGTCATCACAAGTTATAGATACTTCTGTATTCAGCACTTAATATAAGCACTTAAAGTACAGAACAGAATGTTGTTTATATATACTAGCAATACATTGGGTAACAGCATCATAGAATAACTTAAATAAGAAGGGACCTCTGGAGATCCCTTACACTAACTCCCATTATCTTGCCAACTTTGCAAAAGGAAACAAAATTGCCCTCTATATCCTTTATTCTCTCTTCAGAGCACACTTCACAATACTATTCTGGATTTATCGTTGTACCAAAGAAAACATAGAAGAAATCAGAGAGGTTTTTTTGAATTCAAAATTCATGTCAGTACGTATGTTAGGCATAAAAAAAATAAAGAAACTAATATCTTTAATAAAACATTTGTGTATGCTCCTTTCAAAGGTCATATATAAAAACTATACTTTCTTCTCCCTGAAGTGAAGAGAGTTCCCAGTTTATTTAAAATAAAAGCAGTGATGTCTATAGCACTGCCCAAGGTACTTAATCTAATTTAACTTACCTTCTTTAAAATTCTGTTTAGTGAAGAAACCACACAATCAAGTGTAAAGTCTCATTTGGAAGCTGCCAAAAATTAAGGGAGAACATTAAATATCCTTCCATTTCTTCAGGGACTCAAAATTACAAAGAGCCACTCAGAGGCTTCTATACAAAAACACAATTTATAGAGGACACAGAACTCACAAGAATATGTTAAATCAGTGATGGATGATCTCAGTAAAATGTCTAGAAAACAAAAGGTTAACTATCTTCTCTCAAGATTTTGAAGCCCTGGAGTTGCTTTCAGCAGCCCACCAATTAGTCTTAATAAGACAATAAGCATCCCATGGTGAAATAAAGACAAGACTAATTGGCAGAATGCACCTGCTTCTGTAGGGAACACCTACTCCTATCAAAGAGAACACAAGAGGATGGGTGAGCTGCATCACTCTCTCCAGAGCCCACAGGTAGACTTTCACAGTTCAGGAATCTGTACCACCTTCAATAGCTATTATGGGTAAATGAGCATCTTGCATTTTCTGTTTAATATCACATAGCAACATGAGTCTAGAATGTGTTTTTAATTGCCACAAACATTGTTTATACTAAGCTAAAAAACATAGGCTAACAAGTACAATTCTGTCAATAGTTTTAACCTACTACAGATTCCAATCCTGATTTATTAAACATTCGGTTTTATGCAGAATAACACTCTTCTCACAAATTACTTCCATATTTTTCTTCTTATAGCAAAAATAAAAAGAGAATCAGCAATGAGCCTTGAAAAAGCTATTTTAGGTCCTGTTAGGAAACTGAACAACCTCTTGCAAGGTTCTGTGAAAAAATGAAGAAAAATTAAGCAGATCTGAAGATTTTAATAACATCATTCACAAAACTGGGGGTCCTAAAATTGTAGATGTGTATGGAGAGAGAGATTTTACAATTAGACAAATAACACACTAAAATAATAATGATGCAAGATCACTCATTAAATACAGGAGAAAAGAGTAAAAGAATTGAGAGTTGAGATGTTAATATCAAGACTTTCTTCTTCAGGAAGGCATGAACTCCAGGAATGGTCTTACAAAAAGAGAGTGGGGAAACTGGAAAAAATGGAGCAGTGGCCCTGAGCCCCCTGACACAGAGCGCACTGCTGGGGTCTGGTGGTTGCAGTATTTGCTGAGCCCACACACACCCTATCCCTCCCAGGGCACGTGGGCTGAAACCTGCTTAGCTTCAAGGGCAGAGGTAGCAGCAGGGCATAACCCAGTAGTTTGGAATCTAGCATATTCAAACAAATCTGAAACACTAAAATATTCTATTTGCGATCACATGACTGCTAATTGCAGATCCTCTGAAAACCCTAGGGAGTCTGAGAGCCATATTTCCACTTTTGTTCCCCTAAAGCTTCCCATAAATCTTCTTTGGCCATATTGTGCAATTCTTATACAAAATAAATCATATTCACTCCAGATTTTTTTTTTTTTTGTATAAATAGAAGAGAGCAAGAAAGTGATTCTTTTACTCTTAGAATTAGAAAAGGGTTTTATTACACTCTGGTGCCATATTTCAATGATAGTCCCTGCCAGAATGAAGTCAGACAGCTTTGCACATATTGCTTGAGTTTTTTTTATGGTATCATGCCTTTAGGAAACATTAAGAATAAACAATATTAGTCAAAAAGATTTATAATTAAAATATGGATTTCTCTACAAAGAAAACAGAAAGCATTTAATATAGGGAAATAAAAAATAAAACAAGCCATAAAGCAAACTCTCTCGTAGTACCTCATATTGTTTCAGAATTTGCCTAACAACTTTCTTTTGCACTTCTGACCTTCTAGTCACTACACTCCACTATCTTACGTGGCCTTCCATTGCTCATCTCTTTTATAAGCGACTCAGTATAGATACCTTTGTTGAACTTTGTTAAACCCAATGTTTATGATTAAAATGCATATACCTTACGATATCTGTTAATGAATATTAAAATATCTTCCTGCATTTCATAAAACCATATGGCTAAAGGGTACATTAAGAGGTCACATTCCATTTGCTACGAAGCAGAAAGATGACTACACTCATCCTTCACGGATGCTTCTGCTATTTGCTTTAACAACTATCAGCTCTCAAGATCCTCTAACTCCTCAGTAAATCTCTTAGTTTTTCACTAACTGAAAAAGCTGAGCAGGTATGAAACCCTTGGGGAATTTTAAAGTCTGACTGGACAGCCACTTGAACTCCAATCAAGGATTTCCTTTTAATTATACAAAATATTTCAAAATAAATGGCTCAACATTTATGTTTTTGCCGTTATGCTTAAGTATGTCTACAGGGCTCATCATCTGATTATTTCATGAGATTCAAGGTGATTTTTATTTTTAGAAGATAGACACTTGTTTTGCTTACTGAATTTTTGGTGATATCTTTCTATAAGAAATAAAAATGAAAGCTTGGGAAGTCTATGCTTGCAGAAGGCAAGAAGAAATCAAGCAGTTAACTTCTTTAAATGGTGTAGTATCCTGACAAATACTAACTACAAAGTCTAATGTTTAAAATCTATATATCAAGATGAAAATGGCATGAAAATATTATAAAATGACACTATCAACAATTTTGACAACTTTGACAATTCTCACCTTTGACAATTTTTTGATTGAAAAATTGAGAAAATTAAGAGTGCATAAATACTACAATGTCAAAGCACATGAAGTCCAGGAAATACTTAGTCTTTAAATGTACAATCATAATGATAATAATAAACATCAAGGTGCAAAGAACCTAAGTGTATTTAACAACTTCTGTTTAAATCTGTGTGACATTGGTTTTACAAATATAGTTACTATATAATTTACCAGGTACATATTTTTTACACACAATCTCTGATTAGAGGAAATAATTTTAAAAAATTGGTAAAAGAAGAGGAGAAAAAGTTATTTTAGTTTCTCTCATGATATCCATGATTCCCTTTTCCTGCAGTACTTCTAATCTCCTCCCCTCTTAGGTCAAGTCATTTGCAACTAAAAAGATTAGAAAGGAACAGAGCAAGTTTTCTCTGAGGAGATTGGTAGCAGAATCTTTACCATTTGCACATAGTAGCAGAGCATCACTGGAAAACTATGAAAGCAAATCTTTTCATATGCACTAAAGATATACACAGAAAATTGCCTGTATGCAAGTCTAAAGCTCTGAAACCTATGCCTAGGCATTCATAGATCCTTTCCCATTCTTGCCTACTTACTTTCTGAGCTAAGGTCAGGCATCTACATAAAAACTATAATAAAAAGAAACAATAGACCTTAATACATTAATAACCATTATACTTTTTCGATACAACCTATGCATGAGAAATTAATGCGTTTCTATCCAGTTTTCAGGTTTTATAACTGCCTGGGGGGCTTATCAGCAAATAAAATCCAGGAGTCTTGAGCTTGCCACTCAACCCCCTAACAGATCGGGAGAGCAGCTGGGAACTTAGAAACTTAGAACTGCTCTCAAGCTGTTCACCTCACATCAGACTGATATGAAGCATCATCAAATGGAGATGCTGAGAAAGCAGCACAGCTTAAGCACTAATCCTGACAGAACAGCCACACGGCTCCCCCTGCACACCACCATCTCCTCGAGTTTATGTTTGCTTCTAACTCAAGAACCTTAAGTTGGGGTCCTGGGGCCCACGAGCTTTGATGCAAACAGCAAGAGCTGAAATCAGGGGTTTTTGAGCTTCTACAAAGCAGCCTAACAAGCAGAAGTGCCTAGAAGTCTTAGACACCTCCAGGTTTCAGCTAAAAGAGGAATGCTGGTTGCAGAATATCAGAGGTGTTTAAAAGATGACAGACACCAAAACACTTGGCTCAGCCTACAGCTCTTTCTGCACATCTGAGATAGGGAAGCTTCTCTTTTCAGCACCTGAAGAAACCTTTTAAATAAACCTGGTAAGTCACATGCCCACATTAGCCTTGTCATCCCATAACAAATGAAATGAAGAATCAAGGCAATATGGTAAGGGATTGAGCTACATCCAGAATCCATATTCTTGGTCCCAGCCATAGATTTTTGTTTGTTTGTTTTAAACTACCAGCAGTATCAGAATCTAAATAAAGTTCACGTCTCCAGGCAAAGAAAACAGTCACCATGAGCAGATCTGCTGTACATCTTGGTATCACCCAAGATTAGAGAGAGAACAGAAATATCCCTTTATAAAGTACACCTGTGAAGCTCTTCCAGAAAGTGACTGTATTCTTCACATACAGCAATCGCATTTAGTAACTGCCTTGAGGGCAAAACTCAGCATCACTATAAAATCATAAACAATACTTAATACTTTCCACATATCTTAAAGGTCATTCTATCATATAAATAGATTTATAAAATAACTGATTTTGAAAGAAAAACATGTTCCCAGTCCCTCTCTAATTTGACATTGTTAAGCCTGAAAGAGTGCAAGCTATGAAGTAAAAATAGCTAATTAACATGGTTCATGTGAGGGGAAGTAGCAGTAAGCTACTGGGCAGCCTGCATGCACAGGACCACACTGATTGCCTTCAGCTAAAGATGAGAAAAATATAAAATCAAACATCAAGATGAGATACTGTCAATAATTTCACTTGCTATCACTTCAAATGGAGACTTTTCTTGAAAAATTCTGCATAGAATTTACCTGAAGGTCACTTATCTTGACAATTTCTGAAAACTATCTCAGATAAAATCTAAAATGCCTTCATTTACTATTTTATCATAATCTTGATACCTTTGAAGTTAGTTTTCTACTTAAAAATAATTTTATGAATTGCAAAACCCAAGACTCCAAAAACATGATTTTCATCACAAGAGTTATTATAAGGTTTTTTCAGATCCACCACAAAAATTTCATGCGATTATGCTATCTTGGATTTGAGTTTCCACGTCACTCAAATGCTTTTCAGCATAAAAAAATACATATTAACATTTGTCATAAAACTAGTGCGGTTTGAACTCACCTTCAAAAGTAAGTGTCCTATATTTTTACAGAAAACAAACTTTTTTTTCAATACTTCATAATAAAATATTTTCATAAGATGCTCTAAAACCAATTTAGAGATTTCCATTCAAAGTTTTATGAAACCCCAGAACTAGTTTTTTAATTACATGGTATATTATTACTATGAAAGTAGCAAGAAATGCTGAGAATAAATTGGATCACTTTTTGTTTCTCTGCTCCCTTGAAATTCCCTCGGGGTTCATTAGCAGATAGTTACAAAAAAGCAGGCATCCCAGAGAATGTACTGCAGAATATCATTTTCCTTAATTATTCCCTAACTGGCCTGCATAGGTTCATCTCGAGGCAAAGGCACGAGGCTTCCATGGTCTTATATTTAAGCAGTTATAGTCTACTTGCCTTCTGCTGTATTTATAAGCTACTGGAGCTAGTATGTATAGTGCATTACTCAGAAAATATACCATATTTTCTTTTCACTTTTCCACCTCATATACTTTCTAAATATTTCCTTTAAATTCATCTTTCTTGCATTTCTAAGAAGCACTAAGATAATAATTTGAAAAATTACAAAAGAAAGAAGACAAAAAATCTGCCTATTTCTTTATCTAAGAGAGATTTTCAGCTGGTCATTACCTATGAATGTGAAAGTTTCTAAAATCAAATTGAAAGCAGTGACAACTTACCTAGTAGAGTGTAAGAAATCTGCGATAACTCTTCAAACTTGTAAAATAAGCAAGTGGCTTCATTTATTTAGGCTTTTACGTTTACAATTCAGCAGCTGGGGAAAAATGTTAAAGAGAAAAAATATTAGACCAAAATATTCTATATTACTGAACTATTCTTTTTCTAATCAGGCACTTTTGTCACGTAGGAAGCACTACAAATATCAACATCTGTTGAACAAGTTCCTTCAACCTTCAGTAAGATCAGCCTGATCAACAAGCTGGCCTTATTGAAAAGACATTCAAAACTTATAAATTTAAATATGGGCCTGCTTTTGTTTTCTGTGATGATTCTTTTCAGTGATTTTGAATGAAGCTAAAAAGGAAAACATTCTTTTGTTTCAGCAGCTTCTGATTTCATAATATCCATTATGCAAAACAATGGGCAGCAGTATCCACTGATGTCCTACTCAACATGCATCAAGGAATGTGTTGTAAACAGTTTTCACACAGACAGGTAACAGATGGAGAGCACCTTTGTTTCCTGATAGTTCATCTGCTTTCTTCTCTTTTTGTCCACGAAATTACAATTTTGAATCTTAGCTACTGTTATAACCCTGTGAAATTAAGGCACTGTTAGTAAAAAGGCTGAGAAAATTTGCATGTGGATGTAGTTCACTATTTGTTACAAGTTAATAATTTTACTTACCAGGTATGATGGCAATTTTCTCAAGCACTACAACAGTCTGACTACAGTATGATAATTCAAAAGCCGATACCATTAGAAAGCAAAGCTCTGGGACAGGCAATCTCAATTCTACATGTGCTATACAAGTTTCCTCCACTAGTTCCAGGTACTGTGTCCATACTAGCTGCACCATGGTTCAGAATGGTTCCATGGTTCCATGGTTCAGAATTGCTCCATGAAAAGCCATTCTGGAAGTGAAGTAGCTTCTTTTCCTTGTAGATCCTGCACCAATTCAAATCAGCTAAAGCAAAGGCAGCTCCTCAACTTGCCTCACACTTAAAGAGACACGGTTCCAAGATGTACTTAGTGAAAATCACATGTGGAATAGAAAAGAACAATTAAGAGATAAGCAAAATAATCAGCTCATCTGGAGAATTACAAAACACTGGAGCAAGTCCTTAAAGTAGAGCTGATGAGGCAGGCAGAGGCAGGCTGCTGCTGGAAGAAGGGCTGCTGTAGTAACACGGTACTGTCTATCCAGACCACATGCATCTGATTCTTGCATGCCCTCAAGCACAAGACATAGCAGGGCTATATCTCCTTCAGCTGCATTCCTCCCGTCCTCATAGGAGCTAACTCTACACAGGCTCTGTAGTTAGCACTTAATGCAAGCATTTCATTCACAGAAACAGCACAACTTACACGAGTGCCTTGAGGCTACCAGATCTCACTTCGTGGTGCAGTGGCTAATCTGGCCCCAATCAGAGCACTCCAAATAATGCAAAGCTTATTTCAATCTGCCAGTAAAGTTGCCCAGAAAACCTGGAAAATGAGGTTTTCTTCCCTCTTTGGAAGAGGGCAGAATGCCTGTAGTCCCCTTACCATCACCTCCCAGCTTTTCTTGCCTCAAGTCTCCCATTCAAGACATGTAGCACTGAAAAAGGCTTACACAAATGAAAAAAAATTACTATCTACTGGAGAACTAAAATAATTTCATTCTTGATGAAAACTATTCAGCCAATTGCTATTCATAATTTTGTTCCTACAAAAGATCAGAGAAGTGTGTCAAACTACTAATGCTCTTATACTTAAAGTTCAACAATTCAGTTCTCACATCCTTGTAAGCTCACGCATTCTGAGTTGAAGACAGAAATAAAAGAGCATATTATGCATCTAACAATTATATTGTCCAGCTCACATTGGGTTACAATTATCTATGTGAACTTAAGTTTTGTTAAAAACCCCAGCTATTACAGAGATAGAAGGTGCAGTTCCCCGAGCACCAGTTTGAAAAGCTTCATCCTCCCTGAAACCTTCCACTCAAGACCAATGAGTCCACAGCTTGTTACACACTTCACACTATGCATGAAAATTTACTACTTAAGGCCTGTTCTTGATGTACATAAGTTCCTCCACATTCTGTTCTATTTCCATAAACAGAGAAATATCTAGATAAACAGTTACTCATAGTAAGTGATTACTTAAAGGGTTTATTTCATAAATAGGACAAGAACATCTGAAACATCAAATATAAACTCTTTTACCATGTTAAAAGAGCTAATCACACCAAGCATATGAATTTTGGCATGCAATATGATCTACCAGGCAAAACAAAAATCAATAGCAAATAAAGAGGATCTCCTCCAGTAACTTAGCTAACTGAATGCTCATGAAAGGAAGATCACAAAGAAAACAACTGGAAGAGAAAAGGGAGAGAATTTTTGACAGCAACTGCGAACTCTCCTGAAAGCAGATGTTTGTATTTACATAATGGAGAAGTATGTCAGCAGAACAGAAACTAGAGGACTTCTGACATTTAGAAAAGGATCAACAGCATTTCCTTGCAACTGTGCTGTTCAGCTGCCACCATGTACATCTGCAGTGTACAGCTGCACTTTGCTCAGGGTTGACCATGTCCACCTTAAACCCTCCCCACTTCCCCAGTTTCTTCACGGGGACTAGGATGCTCCGGGCATCACTCTCCTTGGCGACACCAGTACTTTCTCACCTTCTCTTCCACTGCCTTGCCTGCCCCCTTCCCCAGCCATTCACTCCTGCATCCCCCTCAATAAAGGAAAACCCAGAATCAAAATAACCACAGAAAAACTCTAAACAAAATGATTCCAAAGTGCCACCAAAAGGAGTAACATGCTGCTGTCTGATCCACCAAAACACAGTGTCTGCCCTCTTTTCAGAGCACCTGTGGAACAGACTTTTCCCAGGATATTCATCCACTGTCTGCATATCCTTGCTCTAAGGAGATGGGACTAACTGTTAAGAGGAATTAAGGAGTTATTACTGACTACTGCTATCAGGAAGCAGACTAGATTTGAGGCAATAATCTGTCTTTCACCAGAACTACTTATTCTGTGAAAAGTATGCTTGAATATGCCCATTAGTATTAAAGCTATCATAGGCATCAACTGGAAACAATACCCAAAATTCCAGTGTCTCTATTGCCAAGCCATGAAACAGGAGAAGGTAAAGATACCCAAAATGCGCTCCTTGATTAATTCACAAAGATGAATTACTGAAAAGAAGTTGACATTAAACAATACAGCCTTCAGGGAATATCCTGACCTGCTTTCTGCTCTGCTAGGAAATAGTCTGCAGACCTCAAAAAAAACAAGGTAAATATGTCAGGAAGGAGTTACCTCAACATGACCTGAAAATAATACCACTTTCAAAAACAACCTGCTTGAGGTATTGTGAGGAATCCTCCACAGAGGAAAGCGTTCAGGATGTCAGATGAACAGCAAACAAAAGTAATCAAATAGCAAGACTACAGGAAGAACAGCAAGAACAAGACAAACCTTCCCCACTCAGAGGTACCAGTCTTGTACCAGTTTTACTCCTCTATGTGTCTATTACCACAGCTATACCTATACCATGGCTACTAAAACTACATGAAGATGGATGTTCAGTACTTTCAATCTCATATTTGTTACCTTCACCCCTGGGAAAACACACACAGCAGTTCCTGTTTGTTTGTTCCTAATTAGAATGTGCAGTTCAAAATTTTATGTCAATAGCTGCATGTTCCACATTTACAAAGCTGATGACAATCAGCTGTGAGGATTGGGTAGATACAATGTACAAGCACAGATCCTTATATGTGATTTGATAATCAGCAAGCCTAGAAAATCAAAGTAACAAAATTTGATTCAGTACAAAAGCGTGAAAAAAATCCATTCAATATTAATTCCCTCAGTTTTGCTACAAAAGGAACCGAAAGAAACATAGTTCATGCTTGAAACTAGTAAGCATTTAATAAAACTCATGTTAATTGTTCTTTTACTTTCCTTAGTCAAACTAGCAGACATAATTTTCCCCCCAAAAAAAGATTTTAGCTAGTTGAGGCTGATTGTTTTTTTCACTGACTTCTTAACACTTTCATCTTCTTTACTTCAGTCAATCTCATTAGGCTTGCTCAGAGGTTTGAGAAAAGTAATACAGGGTAATCAGATTCAAAGGACAAAGAGCAAACAGCTATGTCTGCTGTTGATTGCTTTCACCAGGCAAACACTGCTCAAGGCTTTGAACCTGACTCCCCCGAAATAATCACTTTTATTTCTGATAATAAGAGAGAGCAAGAACGAAAGCAGTGCACATCCTTTGGTTTAGTACTAGCACATGATAATCCTCCAGAAAAAAATTCTTTACGGCAAAATTACCAGCCTGGAAAGCCTTCTGTAGAACGACAGAGACCTAATAAATTGTAACCAAGCTAATGCAACATGTCCCACCACCATCTTGGAAAATGGAGAGGAAATGGGATAATTTGGAGTAGAACCTGAAGCAGAGTGGCTGTGAATTTCAAAGCTTCTCACAGCGGATGTGTCTGTGCAGTGATTCATTAAAACCTTGCACAGGGCTGAGGAAAAGGCTTTGGATTTTGCTAGAAGAGAAAGTGGGAGACCTTTTAATACGAAGCTCCTCCAGCACTTGCTCCCAGAGAAAACAATTGCTAGAGCTACAAAGACAGAGTTCATTCTGGGGCTATGGAAAAGCTCCAACTTCTGCTACATTATCTATGTGGCTGGTATTAAGGTGGTTTCTTTTCATCATCACATCTTCCCTAGCTTAGATTTAGACTTGTAAGAATGATCCTCAGGGATATTTCTTTGCCTTTGAGCCTCACACACACCACTTTTCAGAAGCAGCCTCATTGCCTTAAATTCAGTCTGTCCAAACATGACCTTTCTTAACTTAGCAATTCCTCTCTTTTGTTTACCTTTCCTAAAGCATTTAACAGCTGTACAGCACTTTGTCTCCCAGGATTTCTCATAAAAACTAGCAAGAGAAAAGCACACTAAAAAGCCTCAAGAAAATTGCTTGAAAATACCAAAACATATATTTTTTTTCCTCCAACTTTTATGAGAATAATGGGAAATTCTTGATTCAAAATAGCATTGCTCAGCCTCGTAGTTATGTTATTCCTGTATATTCTACAGATAAAGCTCTAAGTTATTTAATTTGCTATAGTATGTTATGCTATGGTATACACAGGACCATACACTGCAAGTTATCTTCCATGGGTGCATTCTGTGAGACCAACTACAAACATGAAGAACATAATTTTCTTATTCTAGTTATTTGGGATTTGGGCTTTACACTTCAGCTTGACACTTGCCCCACAATCTTTCATGATGCTTTTTAATTTTCCCCTTACAATTTGATAACTTATCTGATTACTTGATTTTATTTTTACAAAATTTGAAATTATTTTAAGGCACATTCCATTCCTTAGCTACTTACATTTTCCTGAAGTACTGACCCTCTTAGTAAAATATTACCTTAAAGAGCTACTACGCTGTTGCAGTTCCACGTTGGTGCTGCCTAAATGCTCAACAGAAAACAAAAGAACATGTATCCTTACACTGAAAACTGGACACAAAACAGCACA